TCTCAATTAATTTGAATATGTGGAGGTTTTTAAGTGTTTGAAATTTTTTTTCTAAAAGTTTTGGGTCTTTGGATTTCCTTATGTTTGGGATCCATCGTTAATAATACAAAAGAGTTGAATTAATAACTTTTAATTTAAATTAATAACGATTAGAAGAGTTTTCTCGACGGATCTGTTTTTTGGTGGTTTTTTTCTCTTCTACCGTCGTTTTATTTCCTGTGATGTAGGTAAAGTTCATTTGTCTCCTCTGGTATGCGGCTTGCTTAGATTTGTTTCCGGCTAGGGAGGTCTTGTGCCATCAAGCTTCGCCTCTTTCTTGGCTCACTTTGCTCTGCGGATTTGGACGTAAAGGTCGATATTGCAGCTTCTTTCTGTGGTGTTGGCTCTGTACTGGGAGTTGGTATTCTTCCAATCCTCTCAGCTTCTCTTGGCAAGCAAAAATCACGGGATTATTGGCGAGTATTCTTTGGATTTATCTTCTTCGTTTCTGCGATTGAAGGTCTCGTGGTTCGACATTTCCGTTTTGTTTGAGTGACTATTCTTCGAGCTTTGGCGACAGTATTATGTATTGTCGAAAATGTCGTGGCATCGTTCCCTTCTTCGTGCAGCGTGTGCCAGGAACAATTAAGATTTCTAGGTATGTACAGGTTTTGTAGTGGTTTTGGTCTAATAACTTATTTGGTTAAGTATACCCAACGAGAATCACCCAAAAATTACCCTCTTGTTTAGTTTAAAAAATCAAAACACACAAAAATATGAATTTAATACAATCAAATTTTCAAAAAGAAAAATACTATAAAAAGTGTTTTGACTTATATTTACTATTCAGTAACTCTAGATTATTTTTAGATTTATTCACCAGACAATATAATTTTTGCATGATGAACTAGCAATTTTTTGGAAACTCTTACACAGTTAAATTTAAATAATTTAATGTGTGTTGTAGTCTTGTAGATGTTAAATTTTTCTGTTTATATGTATAGCTGCCTATTGTAAACATAAAAATCACTTTTACATAACTATGATGATGTAATTTAGTCTATAGACACTAATATAAATTAAATAGTGATATACTAGTATCTCAGCTAATGCTTATTTGTTGAGTGGACCAAAGATGTTTGAAAAGGATTATATTATATTTTGAAGAATATTATGCAGGGAAGTCTTTAAAATAGCATAATTTTCGAAATTGTATTTTAAATGTTAGTATAAATGTTCTAACTTCTCAAGTTTCAAAACAAAGAAAGAAATTGAACATATATTGGTCTGTTTCCGGTACCCTAAGACATCATTTTGAATGTTTTTTTACCAAACATCTGTTCGTTCTCGATACTTTAAGAATGTCTATTATTTTTTGTTTTGTTGGTAAAATTAACAAATTTTCCTGGAAAGTTTTATTCAAGTATATTTTTCTTCATAATTCTTTTCATTATATAGATTTAATTTAATTTGACAATCAATTTGAGTTTTTTGGAAAACTAATATTAATAGATTATATATGAAAGTAGTTGTTTTTTATTTTAATATTGACTGGAAAATGTTGGAGGGCAAAATATGGCTAAATTTCCCTCTCTTCACTTTTGTTTTGATTATATAAATTTCTCTCCATCTCAAAATGTTTGATGTTCTATAATTTT